TTAGCATCCACATTTGCCAGAACGCATATTGAAAGGAGGAAAATGTGAGGTTACTTAGTCTTGTATTATTGGAAAGGACTTGTGGAGGCATCGATTCTGGGTGTCTTAGCCATTTCTTTCTTTCCCTTATATAGAATTAGTTTTTAGAGATGATGTCTTGCTCTTTTGCCCAGGCTGGAATGCAGTGGTACTATCATAACTCACTGCAGCCTTATCTCCTGGGTCTCCTGCCCCAGCCTTCCAAGTAGCTGAGACTATGGACTGCATGCCACCATGGCTGGTGTCTTAGCCATATCTAAATACAAAATGACACAGATTGTCTTTTGAAATTTATGGTAACCTGTTTTCCAAACCTGTACATATTTCAGAGTGAAGGGGAGACATACTTTCAGATAGACCGGAAAGGAAAGATAGTGGATCTTTGGCTCTCAGTACCTTCTCATTCTTATTAGCAAGGGAAGCTTAATTAAGTGCCAGGAGCTAGATCAGCCCTTCCTTGATAGAGTGATTCCTTGGAATAGCTAGCCATACTTAAAAAGACAGGTTCCCAGCAAGTCTATAGCGGAATCGTAAAAATGTATGCTGCCCCAGTAGATCCAACAGAGTCTGGGTTAACCAACCAAGATTTACTTTGCGAGTGCCTCTGCAGTTCACTTTTCTCATTATGTAAGAATATGATTGGTTTGCTTTGCTGTAGCCTCTCATTTTTTTGAGCACCTAATATCCTGGTTCTTAGCTGAGCCATGGGTTTTGGGGATATGATTAGAGGGCCATGAGGAAAATGTGCTTATGGAGACTTTATAGATTGTATTCTGGAAGGAGGAGCAGAACTCTGGGTAGAGTCAGGCATGAGTACAGGAAATAAGGAGCCTGATACCAGGGACCCTGGTGTCTGGTTCCTAGCTCAGGCTCTAGGATGCTACTTAGGTCCCAAAAAATCCAAAGGCCAGAGGCCCCTGTTAGGCTTGCTGCTCTTTTGTAACAATTCTTCTGTGACTCAGTTTACCTCTTTCATAATTGTACCATGTCACCTAAAGATTCTTTCCATCAAATTCAGAATCTGATTTTAAGGGATTAATTTTCAATATTATTTTTATTTTAGATAGTATTTTTAGAAGCTAGAGTTTTTCCCAATAAAGTATGTATTGATATTTAACCTTTAAGTAAAATTATTTTCTCATGAGATCCTTTTTTGTTGCAGGAAACCACAGCTCTAGCTGAAAACCAAGATGAAGACCCGCTAGAAGGTAACATAAACCTTGTGCTCAAGTGGTTGAAAACAAAACCCCATTTCCTGGTTTCTCATTCCCTCTGCTTGCTGGAAACCGGGAGGTTCAACTGGAAAATTTCCATGTAGGTTGCCTAAGCCATATTCTTCAGTAATTTCTCCTGTTTTTGGAAACTGGTTCTATGGGAACAACTTTAGCCAAACTACTTCTTTGGGCCCTTCTGAAGGACTGAGAAAGGGGGATGTTCCCAAACAGGAAGAAGATAATACGTTGCTTTTAAGCGCCATTTCCTCTGTAAGTTTAGACTTTGAGGTAAATTATGCTTTAATTCTGATTTTCAAGGGAGAAGAGCACCGAGGCGATCCCTGTGGCCTCAGGGTTATTGGTTCCTGGGGTGCTTGTCAGGACAGCTCCTTAGTATCAGGCTGGTGGTGCTTCCTGTAGTTCTGAATCTGTTCTGAAAAGAACAAAGTTTGTCTGCCTGGAGACAAACACTCTGAATGTGTCTTATTTGAGGAAGGGAAGAAAATGTTTTGCCACTTTTAAGTAATAAGAAAGAAAAATAGAGGAGAAATTCAGAGAACGCTATTGTCTTTTTCTTATCACATGCCTGTCTTATCACATGTTCTTTTTATCTCTCTCTTGATCCAACCCCTTCCCCTACCAGACAAACCCACCCATTGTCTTTGTGACTTTATCAAAGAAGGGAGCATGTTGTTATTAGTCTTTGTAGCCCCTGTGACTAATTCAGAGTTCACATATTGGTAGGTGCTCGGTGTTTAAATTAAATCAAATTGATGTTGAAATCTTTAGATACTGGTGAGCAGTTCTAGTTTTTAGTACTTTGATTTGAGCATGACTAAAGGGTGCTTATTTCAGCTTTCTGGGATTTTTTTCAGGTTAAGTGTGAATCTCTCTTCCTGTCTTTGTCAGTTATGCAGTTTATTTATTTATTATTATTATTACTATTTTTTGAGATGGAGTTTCGCTCTTGTTACCCAGGCTGGAGTGCAATGGCGCGATCTCGGCTCACTGCAACCTCCGCCTCCTGGGTTCAGGCAATTCTCTTCCCTCAGCCTCCTGAGTAGCTGGGACTACAGGCATGCACCACCATGCCCAGCTAATAGTTTGTATTTTTAGTAGAGACGGGGTTTCACCGTGTTGACCAGGATGATCTCGATCTCTTGACCTCGCGATCCACCGGCCTCGGCCTCCCAAAGTGCTGGGATTACAGGCGTGAGCCACTGCGCCCGGCCACAATTTATTAAAATTGATGCAGGATTTCTTGCTCCTTAGTTCAGCTAAATCTCTAGGTTCTTGTCTTATGACCAGGAAAAATTAGGCATGCGGACACATTGAAGGGTGAGGAGGAGGGAATTTATTAAGTGAAAGGAAAGCTCTCAAGAAAAAGAGGGATCCTGAATGCAGGTTTCTACCTCACAAATTGAATACCCGGCCACTACACACAAGTTGAAAAGGCCAGGCTCCTCCCCTGCATAAGGCATGAATTCCTGGTGGTTCCACCCCATTCTTCCAGTGTGCATGTGGGCCCTTAGTCTGAGCCACTCCACATTGATTTATTTCCCTTACTGTGCATGTGTTAAGCGACGGAATTTTTCACCATGGGCATGTTTAGGCAAATCCCCTGTGCACAATGACTTGGGCAGGTTGGAGGTTCTCCGTGGACCCTTCCCTATTTGCCTAGGCATTTGGGTCTTTTCTGCCTCTATCAGAATAAAGGAGGTAAAAGTTTTCTTTTAGGATACAGACTGCCAGGGGATTCAGATCCCACCTACTAGCTCTGTAGTTCTAGACAAATTAATCTCTAGTGTGTCTGCTTCACTTTCTGTAAAGTGGGGACGTTGATACCTATCTCATAGGAAGTGTGGGCATGCCAGGTCTAAAGTACTTTTAGGTGGTTTAACAGTTTCTGCCTTATGATAACCACTCAGATATTGGCTGGTCATAAATCGGGCACAGTACTGGTCAGTATACATGTGAACTTCTTAATTAGGTCTTGGTAAATCTGTTTATATCTGTTGGCATTTCTCAAGGTGACATACGCTCTTGGTGGCAGGATATAGCTCAGAAGCTTGAGGCAGGAGGGAGACAGGTTACCGCAGATAATCCTTCGTGGATCAATGAGTGGTGTTAATAATAGCAGTGTGGGAATTTACTCATGTTCTTTTCCTGGGTTTTTATGTAATTGATAGGAGATGGCTCCTAAATTTTTTCTAGGGGCAAGAATAATTTTATAACACATTATTATCTGAACAAATGAAATGAACTTATGGCAAATACTTTTTTCATAATTAAAAAATAAAGTGTAAGTTCTTTTAGGCTGACTGATGGAGCCATGGTGCACACGTACACCTCTGGAGGGCCTTCTGGAATTAGAAAAGGTGAAGGAATTTGGAGACCATGGAAAGTGGAAGGCAATCAACCCTTTTGGTGCCTAACTAACCTGAGACATTCTTCTATTGTTTCTTATTCCGGCCTTAATTGACAAGGTCATTGGACTTTGTAACCAATCTTGGTCAACTTTGTAACCAACTTTGGTCAACTTTGTGACTCCAGACCCTATGACCCCCTCCCAGCTTGCAAAAGACCACTCTAAACTGTAACTTCTGTAACTTTCCACTGCCTACTGCAAACATATAAAACTAGCTTCTATCCCACTGCCCTCCACTGACTCAGCCTGCCCGAACCCGGGTGAATAAACAGCCATGTTGCTCACACAAAGCCTATTTGGGTGGTCTTTTCATTCAGAGTGTGCGTTTTAACATAAAGTAAGTATGTTTTAAATAAGGCATCCTGATCAGGATGTAAAATAGGTACAGTGCTCCTGAGCATGTGTTTGAACTTTGTGGGTCCGTTTATTTGCAGATTTTTTCCAGGAAATATATTGGAAATGTTTTTTGAGATTTGCAATCTTTTGAAAAAACTCAATGAACACAGCCTAGAAATATTGGAAACATTAAGAAATTGTAAGGTATGTCATGAATTCAGAAAATATATGTAGATACTAGTCTGTTTTATAATTTACCACCATAAAATATACACAAATTGATTATAAAAAGTTAAAATTCACCAAAACTTGTGCATACACTTATAGGCTGTATATGATGCCATTTGTAGTCGAGAGAAATATATAAACAAATGTAAAAATGCAGTATTGAATTATAACTGCATAAAATTAACTGTAGTAATGCCATACTACTGCAATAATTTCATAGCCATTTCCTGTTGCTATCGCCGTGAGCTTAAGTGTTGCAAGTATTCTCTTAAAATGCTGCATGCAGCATTTTGGTAGGCCAAGGTTTGTGTATCACTTGAGGCCAGGAGTTCGAAAGCAGCGTGGCCAAAATGGCGAAACCCCATCTCCCCTAAAAATACAAAAATTACCTGGGCATCGTGGCGCATACCTGTAATCCCAGCTACTTGGGAGGCATAGCTTAAACCCAGGAGGCAGAGGTTGCAGTGATGGAGATAAAGCCACTGCACTCTAGCCTGGGTGACAGAGCGAGACTTCATCTAAAAATAATAGTAATAATAAAATATGAAGTGTGATGCTAATCATTTCCCCGTGAGCAGTTTCTCTCCCTGGTCAATTTTCTATCACACTAAAAGGTGATCTCTTGAAGTTCTTGTGTATTTTCATCATGTTTAGTGCAATACCGTAAACCCTTCCTAACCCAATGGAATGCATATGACATATCGCTAGTGATGCTGGGTGTGCTCCCAAAAAGCAGAGGGAAGTCATGTCATTACAAGAAAAAGTTGAATTGCTTGATCTGTACCATAGACTGAGGTCTGAACTGCAGTCATCGCCCTTTCAACAGATGATTAATCTTGTAAACAGACCACAACAAACTTGTGTGCGACCCTCTGTAGCCCCTCTGCCCGACACTCAATCCCAAATAACAGCTCGAGAGTTGAAGGCTGAGTTCAGGTTTATTGGGATTAGCGGGCAGGCCAGAGAGGAAGGAGGCTGGGGCTGGCTGCAACTGCGCAGCTGAAGTAAAAAGGCTTTTATAGGAAAAGGAACAAAGGGCTGACACAGAGCTGATGAGGTCATCGTAGAGGCTTGAGATAGACTGATTGTCTCCAGGCAGATTGATTGACTGAATGTAATTACTGGGCAGAGTAGGGTGGGCCATGCGGGTCCTTTCTGTAGAGGTCAGGCAAAGTTCAGACAGGCGGGAGGCTTAAGGGTTGAGTGCGTTGGTAGAATACAGGAAGTCTACGGGTAGGGTCCGGGCAGAGTGACTCACTGGGGTTGTTTTTGGGAAGGAAGTCTGGGGGTAGGGTGCGGGTAGTGAGTTTCTACCTAACATTCCCGACTCCTTAAAAAAGGACAAAGGGGCGGCGGAGTCGTTCTGACTACTTCCTGCTGGACAGGGGCGAAGTGGGGGTTCTTTAAGGAGTCTGGGAAGTTGGTAGGGGGCGATAAATGTAGTTGGGATGGCTGAGAACTGGTTGTAGCATCATTTGGTTGATTGTGACTCGAGTGAGTTCTTGAAAACGGCGTTGTAGAAACTGAAAGAAACAAGGAGCGATAAGTAAGAAAAGACATATGATTATCAGAGGCGCTACTAAAGGGGATAGGAGAGAGTACATGGACGATGACCACCATGTGGTGGCTTCAGTGGTAAACTGATGACTTTGTAGTTCTGTCTTGATTTTCTGGAGCTTTTCGATGCGGGTTTCTACTGTTCCGGATTCATTGATATAGTAGCAACATTCTTCCTGTAGGAAGATGCAGGTTCCTCCTTGTCCAGCTGTCAGCAGGTCTAGAGCCCGTCGGTTTTGTAGGGCTACCTGGGCTACCGAAGTGACCTGTCGTTGGAGAGATGCTAGGGAGGCAGCAGAGTCATCAATTGCTGCTTGTAGCTGCAAGGAAAGGCGAGTTATAGCTTGATTATTATTAACTAAAGCTCCTGTTCCTAGGCCTATAGCGGCAGCGGATCCTGCGAGGGAGAGCCCGATTACTATGGGAAGGAAAACAGCTCGTCGTTGACGGTGGGGGCTGGAGTAGGTATGGGTGGTAGTAGTGTGTTTCATAAGAAATTCAGCTGGTGAATAGACAGTGAGGCGTGGGACTAAGGTGACAGGGAGGCAGCGGGAATGTTCTTTGAGGTCGGATAGGGTTAGGAGTTTGGAGAGAGTGCCATTGCACCAAAAGTAGAAACCGTGGGGAGCTGTTAGATTAGTTGAGAGTTGAAGGGTTTTGTTGCAAGTAGGGTCTAGGTTCTGTAAAGAATAGCACATTGGAAAGGAGGAAGTGTCGAAATAGAAGAGTGGGACGTCTGGAATGGGAGGAGGGCATTGGCTTGTTTCAGTGGTTTGGTTTGCAGAAAACATGGTTGGGACTGCGACTAAAGGAGTTTGCCCAAGAGTAGCACACAAGAGGCAGGAGATTAAGTCGGTGAGCCCAGTCTGATTAGCAAGCTTTAGGCCTTCTCTCATAAGGGTTAGCCATGAAAAGGGGGCTAACTTAGTTTTTAGTGTGGCTTCTTGTATTTGGATTGTGTTGTGAATTTCTGGTGAGGTAAGGACATATGCCCACCAGATGTACAGGTGTGAGGACGGGTAGCTGTCGGTGTTAGTCTCATAGACTGAGGCTTTTTGGGGCGACAGCCACCTTTGGTCTCTTGGATCTGGAATAGTTAGAGTGAATTGGGTTTCTGTAGTAGGGTTACCTTCTGAGTCGAATTTGGTGGTCTTTTCAATGAGAGAAGGGAAATGGTTCTTTTGCTCGCCTTCATTGAAAGTGGAGTCATACTTACAGGACTTCCAGACACATCCCATACAAGAGTGCCATGTGGAGACTTTACATTGACCTGGTTGTTTGTAGTTAAAGCACAGCAATGGGTGAGTACTGTGGACGTTATTGAAAGCGGAGAAATTGAGTTGGATGGGGAACGTGCACCCGGTGGCGGGGCAGTCGGTAGTGGTCAGCAGGTGGTTATGGGAATAAGGAGGGGTTTCACAAATTCCAGTGTTTTTGGTGTAATTTTCAGTAAGAAAAAATCTCCAGACATACTGTGGGTTAGCTAGGGATAAGTCAGGTCTTAAAAAGCTTAAGTGATAGAGGACCAGTAGGAACACACTCCCAGCGGGGACTGGCAGAGCCATTAGGATACTTTTTGACTCTGGAGAGATGAACCCAAGAGGGAATCTGAGCAACTTTGATGGCCGTGGGGGTGGCTAAAATGACGGTGTAGGGCCCCTCCCAGCGGGGTGAGAGGGGTTTTGGGGTGAGGGTCTTAATAAGGACAGAGTCACCAGGGGCGACTGTCTTTTGGTTTAGTGGAATTACTGAAGTCTGGGGTATGGAAGCATTGGCATGTTCTCTAAGTAAGTGTCTAAGAAGGGTAAAGTAGGGAAGATAAGTGCTTAGAGGGGAATTTTCTGGAGGGGGTGGGGTGGAAAGCAGGAAAGGTCGCCCGTATAAGAGCTCGAATGGGCTGAGTTGTGAGGACCCCCGAGGGCGGGCTCGCAATCGGGTGAGGGCTAACGGTAGTAAGGAGACCCATGATTGTTTAAGTTCGAGAGAGAGTTTGGTAAGCTGCTCTTTGATGAGTCCGTTTGCCCGTTCTACTTTACCCGACGACTGGGGGTGGTAGGCCGCATGTAGTCTCCACTGAATTCCTAGGGAAGTACAGACAGCATTAGTAACTTTGGAGACAAAGGCCGGGCCGTTGTCTGACTGTATAGTGGCTGGCAGCCCGAACCGAGGGATGATGTCTCGGATGAGATGGGCGGCAACGGTGTCGGCAGACTCGGAGGTGGTAGGAAAAGCTTCAATCCAGCCTGAAAAAGTATCAACAATGGTTAACAAGAACCGGAACCGTTTATGTTTTGGCATGTGAGTAAAATCAACTTGCCAATCTTGTCCTGGCAAAGATCCGCGCAGCTGGTGGAGCCGTTGGCGGAGGTGACGGGCTCCTTGGGGGTTGGTTTTTGCACAAGTGAGGCACTGAGCGTGGACCTGGTGAATAAGGGAAGAAAGTCCTTCTGGGTGTAATATGGGTAGGAGGAAGTGGAGCAGGGCTTTTGGCCCGATATGTAGGGAATCGTGGATGTCTTTTATGATGGCAGTCTTTTGTGCTTGAGGTAGTATCAGAAGGTTGTGATTGAAGGCCCATCCGTCCCTGAAGGTCACTCCAGGGTTTTGCTGTAAAAGTTTGAGCTCAGAGTCGGAGTACTGGGGTTTGTAGCAGTGTGACAGGAAGTAGATTTCTTTTGGGGGTGGGCAGGTTCGCGCCGTTTCCCTGGCTGTCCTGTCTGCAAAAGCATTACCTAGGGCTACCAAGGATTTAGAGGTTTGGTGTCCTCGACAGTGAATGATGGCAACTTGTTTTGGAAGCTGGATGGCTGAAATAAGATCAGCTATAAGCTTTCCATTAATTACCGGGGTACCCTTGGTGGTTAAGAATCCTCTCTCTTTCCAGATCATACAATGGGAGTGTGCAATAAGGAAAGCGTATTTTGAATCAGTGTATATATTGACAGTTTTGTCTCTGGCCCACCTGAGAGCCCGGGTGAGAGCGACTAATTCAGCCTGTTGTGAGGTGGTTCCCAAAGGGAGGGAATGTGTCTCAATGACGTCTGAAGGAGTTACTATTGCATATCCAGCAATACGGGGTTTCCCTGGGCGTAGGAAGGAACTCCCATCTACAAAAAGTGTTGCTTCGGCCTGGATGGGGGTGGAGTGTAGGTCAGGCCACGGAGATTGAGTTTCAATGATAACCTCGAGGCATCGGTGATTCTGTGTTGGAATGGTTGGCAAAGGGAAAAGGGTAGCTGGGTTAAGAGCGGAACAGTGGGAGAGAGAAATGTCTGGATTCTCCAGGAACAGAAGGTGCAGGAGCTGTATTTTAGATGGCCCAAGGTGAGGTAAAGCCTGACTAGACACGAGTTCCTGCAATCTGTGGGGGGAGAATACTGTGAGTGGTTGCTGGAGATTAATTTTAAGGGCTTCCGTTGTAAGTGTGGCGGCTGCTGCTAAGGCTCGGAGGCAAGGAGGCCAACCCTTTTCCGTGGGACTGAGTTGTTTGGAAAGGTAGGCTAGTGGAAGGAGGGTGTTGCTAACTGGTTGAGTTAGGACTCCAACTGCGATGTGGGCCTTCTCATCGGTATACAAGTGAAAAGGAAGATTAGGATTGGGTAGGGCAAGAGAGGTGGAAGCACATAGCGTTTGTAGGAGTGTGTGGAAGGCTAGAGTCACTGTTCCCTGTGAGGTAAGTGGGCCTTCAGGAGTATCTGCAGTGGCCTGGTAGAGTGGTTTGGCCAGAAGGGCAAAGTTGGGTACCCAGTGCCGAAAAAATCCCACTACTCCCAGAAAGGAGAGTATTTCAGTGGCAGACTGAGGAGGTTGGAGGGATTTTAGAGCCTGCAGTCGGTCGGGGATAATGGATTTCTTCCCCGGGGAAAGCTGCAGGCCTAAGTAAATGACTGATGAGGTAACGAGTTGGGCCTTTTTCCTTGAAACTCTATACCCCTTGTCTCCTAAAAAGTTGAGTAGTACTGTAGTGGCTCGGGTGCACTCTTCCTGGCTGGGGGAACAGACGAGTAGGTCATCAACATACTGAAGAACAACAGATGGGGCTAAGTGGCAGCTTAGAAGGTCTGTTGCCAGAGCCTGACCGAACAGGTGAGGGCTATCCCTGAAGCCTTGGGGTAGGACTGTCCAGGTGAGCTGACAGGAGTTGTCAGTAAGGGGGTCTTCCCAGGTGAAGGCGAAGATAAAATAGGAATCTGGGTGTAAGGGAATGGTGAAAAAGGCATCTTTGAGGTCAAGGACTGAGAAGAAGGTAGTGTTGGAGGGGATTCTGGAGAGTAGGGTGTATGGGTTTGGAACTACTGGATGTATGGGGACTACAGCAGCATTGACTAATCGGAGATCTTGGACTAGGCGGTATTCTCCTGAGGGTTTTCGGACTGGAAGGATGGGAGTGTTACACGGGGAATTGGTAGGTACTAGGAGACCACAACATTTTAGTTTTTCAATGATAGGGTGGAGCCCTAGGCGGTGTTTCTTCGAGATAGGAAACTGGGGTCGACAAAGAAATCGGGGGGATTGGTCCTGGAGCTGAATTTTAACTGGCTGATGGTGTGTAGCCACTACAGGTATATCTGTTTCCCATACCTTAGGATGTACTTTTGGGAGGTGAATGTCTGGGGAGACACAGTCTGAGTCAGAGCTAAAGTGGTGGGCAACTAATAGGAGGTGTGGAGGAGAGGAAGGGAAAGTGATGTGGGCTTTGAGTTTGGTAAGAATGTCTCGTCCTAGTAGAGGTACGGGACAAGAAGGGATAATAAGGAAAGAGTGGCTGAATGGGACAGAGTTATATATACAAGTGAGCGGTGGGGTTTGTCGTGGCGCGTGGGCGACCCCGTCGACCCCCACAACAGAGACCTGGGAAGGTATAGTTTGTCCTGGAAAGGAGGGAAGCACAGAGTAGGTAGGCCCCGTATCGAGCAAAAAGGAAATGCTTTGTCCCGCTACCTGAAGCAATACCCTAGGCTCGGCAAGGGTCACTGGGGTCGACGAGCCTGGGCCTCCCTAATCATCCAGCAGTCCTAAAAGCTCAGGGTATAGGTCCTTCTGGCTCGAAGGAACGGGATATAGGTGGTCAGAAGAGCCGGGCTCCTGAGTGGAGACGTCAAGAGCTTGACTTTCTGAGGAGGGACCCCTTGGTTCAGTTCCTCGGCTCGTGTTGACCGGGGCCCTGGATCCCTGGGGACACTCCGACTTCCAGTGACCACTGAGCCGACAAATAGGACAGGGTCTGGCGGGTGGTCGTGGCTGTGGACAACGGGCGGCCCAGTGTCCTTCCTTGCCGCACTTATAACACGCCCCTGGAGGAGGCTTGGGGCCACTTTTTGATCCCTTGGCTCCAGCCGGCCGTAGGGCTGCCACTAAGGCCTGGGTCTGAGCCGCTGCTAAGGCCTGGGCTTGCATTGCAACTTTTTGCTTCAAACGAGTTTGGCGGGCAACCTCAGCTGCATCTTCCCTGGCATTAAAGACTTTAAAGGCCATTTTCACCAAGTCTTGAATGGGAGTCTCTGGGCCGTCCTCGGCCTTTTTAAGTTTTTTCCGAATGTCAGGGGCAGATTGGGAAATGAAGTGGGAAGCTAAGATGGTAGCCCCGTTTTGGGAAGCTGGGTCTAGTCGGGTATAGCGGACAAGGGCTTCTTGAAGGCGGTTAAGAAAAAGAGCGGGGTTTTCATCTGGCTTTTGTGTGATCTCTCGTAACTTATCATAGTTAACTACTTTGTTGGATACAGTCTCTAACCCACGTAATAAGTATTGAAGCATGCGGTCTCGGGCTGGGATATCAGAGCCGGCACCATCCTGATACACCCATTGGGGATCTGTGGTGGGGATGACTGCTGTTCCTACTGGGACTTGGTTTGGATTTATGGCATGATCCCTATCTGCTTGATGTCTGGCTGCCGCTAGGACGCGCTCGTACTCCTCGGCAGAAAGGGTAGATGTACAGATGATGCGAATGTCTTGCCAAGTGAGACTATAGGCTTGGGTGAGATACTGAAATTCCTTAATGTAAGTGGAAGGATCAGCTGAAAAGGACCCTAGGCGGCGTTCTATTTGAGCGAGGTCTTGGAGGGAAAAAGGGACATGAACTCTAATAAGGCCTTCTGCTCCGGCCACTTCCCGTAGTGGCGCTACTACCGGGGGGAGGGTCGGTGTTTTTGCACGAGTGTGAGCCGCTACGGGAGAGGAGGAGGGAAGAATGTTTGGGGGAGCAGAAGGTGTAGATGGTGAAGGGGAGGTAGGCTCAGTAGGGGAAGGCATAGAAGGGAGGGGGTTAGGTGGGTTAAGAACTTCTGGAGTGGAGACAAAAGGGGAAGACAGATAGTCAGGCATTTCTTCTTGTAGAGTATAGGGAGGGGGTTTGGTTGAGGAGGTAGGAGTCTGCGGTGGAGGAGTTCGGGCTAAAAGAACTTGGTGAGTGGAGCAAGAGGAACAGAGGTCAGGGTGGGAACGCAAATCCCAAAAAGCCTGAACATAAGGCACTTCTTTATCTTTGCCAGTTCGGCGGCAGAAGCTATCTAAGTCGCGGAGCACGTTAAAATCGAAAGTGCCGGTGGGAGGCCAATGCGACTTATTGTCGAGCTGATATTGGGGCCAGGCTACTTGGGAGAGAAAAACAAGCTTTTTCCGTTTAAGAGTTTGAGAGTAGCCTAGGCGATCAAAATTGAGTAACAGACAGCCTAACGAAGTGTTTTTTGGAATTTTGGACTCCGTATTTCCCATGGCATGTGCAGCGAAGGATTCCTGTCCTACTAGCCAGGGGTAGTCTCGGAACAGGATCCGAGCTCGGAACAGTATCCGAGTGGGCTGAGGTAGTGTGGGAGGAGGCGTCCCTGCCACCCACTAGCTACTCCAGAGGAGAGCGGATAGGAAGGACCAGAAAAGGCGTCCCTCGTCTGATCGTTCCTATTTAGTAATTCGGATTGGGTGGTCAGAGAAGGCGTCCCTTGTCTGCCGACCCAAGGCTCCTGGAGCCTGGCGGGGAGGTCTAACGGGCCGGCCGGATGCCGAAAGACCTCTGGTGCGGGGGCTGAGGAGAGGGAGTTCCCTGTCACACACGCCACGGAAGGGAAAAGGCAAGAAAAGGGCTTACCTTATCCGGAGTGCTGAGGTCGAATCGAAGGGGGTCTGGCGAGGTCGCTGGAGGGAGGGGGTCGCCAGGGAGGCTGACGACCCTCGCTCCCGGGTTTCGGCACCAAATGTGCGACCCTGTGTAGCCCCTCTGCCCGACACTCAATCCCAAATAACAGCTCGAGAGTTGAAGGCTGAGTTCAGGTTTATTGGGATTAGCGGGCAGGCCAGAGAGGAAGGAGGCTGGGGCTGGCTGCAACTGCGCAGCTGAAGTAAAAAGGCTTTTATAGGAAAAGGAACAAAGGGCTGACACAGAGCTGATGAGGTCATCGTAGAGGCTTGAGATAGACTGATTGTCTCCAGGCAGATTGATTGACTGAATGTAATTACTGGGCAGAGTAGGGTGGGCCATGCGGGTCCTTTCTGTAGAGGTCAGGCAAAGTTCAGACAGGCGGGAGGCTTAAGGGTTGAGTGCGTTGGTAGAATACAGGAAGTCTACGGGTAGGGTCCGGGCAGAGTGACTCACTGGGGTTGTTTTTGGGAAGGAAGTCTGGGGGTAGGGTGCGGGTAGTGAGTTTCTACCTAACAACTTGTATTATTGATAAATACAGCATAGTACTGTAAATGTATCTTCTCTTCCTTATGAGTTTCTTAATAACATTTTCTCTTCTCTGGCTTACTTTGTTGTAAGAATACAGTATAGAACGCATGTAACATACAAGTACTTGTCAATTGACTGTTTATGTCATCAGTAAGGCTTCCAGTCAACAGTAGGCTACTAGTAGTTACATTTTTGAGTTGCTGGAGGGAGGCCAGGGAGGCAGCTGACGCTTCGATAGCCACACAAAGCTTGTCCTCTAGTTGAGTGGCTGAGGTGACACTGTAGCCTAGGGCGCCGTTACCCAGCTCGGCTGCCACCAGAGAGGATGCTAGAGAGAGACCAACGACCTGTGGGAGGAAGACTGCTCATCTGTCTTGGTGATTAGGGGAGGGTGGAAGGAGGGATAGAAGTTCGGCCTGTCCATATACCTCTAACTGCAGGACCAAGGTGACAGGCACGCAAGGGAAAGGGAAGGAGGCATTAATAATTTTAGATAAGGTTCCATTACACCAGAAATATCCTCTTGGTGGTGCGTAGAGGGAGGATTTTACCTTTACTGTGGTGTTATAGCTGGGACTGGAGCTGCTGGCTGTCTCATGGCAGAGAGAGAAATTTTGAGGGTATACTTGGAACAAGGGGATATCTGTTAAGATGGTGCCGGGTCCCATAGGTGATTGTGACAGATTGAACCCGGACCTGAGGGGAACTGCAGCTAAGGGGGGGTTGCTGAGAGAGGCACATAAAAAGCAGTTGGTGATATTCATATCTTTAGTTAAAATTAACATGTTGGCTCCCTGCTGTACTAGAGTCAACCAAGAGAAAGACTGAGAGGTATTATCTGAGGGTTTGAATTGGTTAGTTAAGATGGCTTCATTTTACAGGATTGTATGGCTTACAGAACTGAGCTGTTCTATTGCTTCAGAGACAATGCGGGTATAGGAATGAAATATTAGCCATGTTCCCTGAGGGTGGCTCCAGGTATAATCTTCACAGACTTTACCAGACACTCCTGTATCCTAACAGCTGTGCCGGGGTCACAGATGTTGAGGGCTAAGGAACCATTGCTGAAGTGAGCGAGCATGTGGTTGGGACAGCTTGGAGGCTGTGGCTTGTGAATAACACAAGAGCTGTATGAGCATCCCCCATAGGTGGTGTGTCCCACCAATGACAGTAGTCCTTGGTTTGGTCATATAGAAAACACAGATGAAAGTGAAACCCATGATTGCGACCGAGTATGGTGCTTTTACCATGTGGGATGAGGATGGAGACAGTAGACTGACAGCTGCCTGTTTGGCAGTTTGCCTGTGCAAGATTATGAGTCCTGGTGGTGGGGCCCTCAGTCCAGGATTCCTGGGTTGCAAGGATCCTGGTTTGAGCTCTTGGAGGAGAACGCTGTCACCCGGCTGGAGAGGTGCTGCCGGGTGGAGGTCCTCTGGTCCTGGAATGACAGGGAGAGTGCAATTGGCGTGCTCCCTGAGTGCTTGGCGGAGGAGAGAGAGAAACGAAAGGTAGGAGGCCAGTGGTGGTGGTCGCGCAGGGAGATTATGGGAAACCAGGAAAGGCCGGCCGTACAGCAATTCGAAGGGGCTCAGGCCCATTGGCCCCCATGGGGTGGTCCAGATATGGGCCAGGGCAAGAGGTAGGAGTGTGGGCCAAGAGAGTTTTACCTCAATAGCAAGTTTGGCCAAATGGTCTTTGAGGATGCCGTTGGCCTGTTCAACTTTACCCAATGACTGAGGATGGTAAGGGATGTGTAGTATCTAGATGTTGAGGGACTCAGCAACCAGCTGGACTACTTGGGCAGTAAATGCTGGACCATTGTCCAACTGGATGGTGGCAGGTAGGCCGAAGCGAGGGATGATTTCTGGTGTAAGAAATATCCCTAGCAAATAATTGCCACTGTGAAGGCTAATACCATAGTCTTTGGTTACTTAAAACCTAAAGTCTTGTTATCTTTAGGCTTAAAAGAAATTTGTACTTGTAGTTTTTGGAGCAGATTCCTCCCCAACAAAGGAACAGGGCAGCTGGGAAGATATAAGAACTTGTGCCACACCTCTTGCCTTCCAGTGACATATTTTGATTGGCAAAAGGATTTGTTTTTGTTCATTTTTACCTGATACTCCTATAGCCACAATAGTAGTAGTGTAAGACAGTGACCCACCAGTTTGGATCATATGCCACCACTAGGTACTACATGGGGGTAAACCGCATGATCTTTATAGACCGTTCTCCAGTCTGGACCAGGTTTTAGACTCTGGTTTAGCTCTATCTTTTTCTTGCTCTCTTGCACGTCCTCCTCCATCCTTTCATTATCCCCACTTTTCTTTCAACTAAGGCAGGTGCTAGTAAATCTGCCTTTTCCTTTTCCTCACACCTTGCCCTTCTCTTAGCCCCGGTCCTGTGCAGGGAGGGCACAAAGCAGCAAAGTGTCTGCAACCCACGTGCCACCTTTCCAGTGCTACTACAAAATTTGCAAGAAGTAAGAAATGGTCATTTATCAGAATTATACATTTATTTTTATATTTTTTTAATATAAAGTGCAGCAGGCTCCAACGTTGCTCCTGGGCATCTCAGGTTTCGGGCCTTCGTCCTCTCCAATCTAAATGCAGAGACATTTGACATGAACATGTTTTGCAAAATGCGATACGTTCTTATTGACTCTGGTCACCCTGCTGTGCACTAGAGTCAAAACCTCTTCCTCCTGTCTAGACTTTGGTCCTTTGACCAATACCCCCCCATTCCCTCCCTCTGCCACTCTCCGGCCCCGGAGATTTGCCAATTAAAACAGTACTACTAAAGACAGAATAAATATAGTAAAATGCAAGAAGTGCGGCTTCACCGCCCACCTACTTACTTTTTCTCTTGGGTGGGCCCTCTTACTCTGCCTCTTGGGTGGACAGAGGCAGCAACAGCATCTCCTTATTATGGCAATGCACCTTCGGGCAGCCCTGCGGCAGCTCCAGCCTCTTGTTGGTTGGGCCAACACAGCCTCAGGCTGCCCAGCTTGGAGGACGCTGCCTTCGTGTCCTGGTTGTTGAGCCACGGTGCTCTGGGTGGTGATCTGGGTGGAGGCGGCCGTGAGGTTATGCGGGAGGGCTGGTTGAGCCAAAGTTTCTAAATTTTCGCTGCCGGTGGAGCACTTGGTGGAGGCTGCAGACACGAGGTCACGCTGGGGGGCTTGCTCTGCCAAGGTTTCTAAAGCACCACCACCACCTATGGCGCTTACAGTGGAGGAGGCCACACGGTCACACTGGAGGGCTTGCCGTGCCAAGTTTTCTACATCTCCACAATTGCGCTCGATGGTCAGGGAGGCCGTGGGGGCATGCTGGGGGTCTGACTTCCTGTGAAGGCTGGCAGGTGAACTGGAAATCTCAGTGACTAAACATGTAGGATCCCCAGGAGCAAGAGACTGTGGAGTGGTAATGGATGGCTTTTTTTCTCCATCTAAAATACGGTAGGTGGCCATGGGATAATTAAAGACGTTGTCTTCGATTGCCTTTACGATGTTTTCTGGCTTCAATCCCATGGCCACCAAGAGCCTTATGGTCTCACAGTTTGGGTGGTCTTCAATCGGCTCTTCATACGTCGCTGGAGGCAAGTCCTGGCCGTTGTTCACCCACGGGTCCCTCAAGACTTTGTCTACTGTCGGCCGCTCATTGGGATTAGATATCAAAAGGTTTTTAATTAGGCTTTTTAGGCCTTCTGAAAAATAGTGCCGAATAACATACTGGCCAGATAGAATGAGGGATATCAGTTGGAAACGACTCACTGCGAAGAAGGGCAGACTGTTGGACACCATCTGGTATAACGTGACGCCTAGGCTCCATATGTCCATGGCGGGACATTCATAGCCCTGGGCCCCAAAGAGTTCTGGGGCCATGTAGGGGAGGGTCCCATGACCTGCTCTCAGCCTCTGCCCCTCATGATAAATCGTGGCTGATCCAAAATCCACAATTTTTATGTTCCCTTTGCCATCTAACAGCATGTTGTCAGGTTTAAGATCTCGGTGAGCGATTCTTCGGTAGTGGAGGTAGCTCACGGCGGACAGCATTTGTTGGAACATGCCTCGGGCCTCCTCCTCCTCCATGATGTTTTTTTCGAGCCAGTCGGCCAGGCTTCCTCCTTCTGCGTATTCTAATACCAGCTGGCACGCCTCTCTGGTATTAATGATCTGGTAAAGCCGAATGATGTTACTGTGGCTCACCGACTTTAAAATAGTCGTCTCTCTGTGGCTAGAGAGGAGGCCGGTTTTGTTGATTGTTTTCACCGCCACCCGGGTGCCAGTTATTAAATGCCGGGCCAGCGTGACCTCGCCAAAGGCACCACGGCCTATGAATTTCAGTATTTGATAGTAAGGTGGCCGCAGGGCAGGTGAGGTGGAGGCCACTCCCTGCTTCATGGTATCTCTAGACACACTATCCAAGTAACTACTCTAACTCTACAGTAAACAACACTACTTACTATCCCAAATACACTAAAACACTAAGCAATACTAACTATATTAACTATGCTAACAACGCTACCCAGAAAAAACAACGCCCCTCCCACAAAAACTCCCCCCACCACCCCAAACAACTCGTAATCGCTAAGCTGGTCTGAGTCCACAGGTCACCAAAAAAGCTTCCAGGGATTTCTCAGACCAAAAACCATGACCCAGCCAGGGCCTCCTTATATAGGCCTGTCTGTTATGACATCACAAAGGCTTTTCATGAGCTCAGAGCAAAGCAGGGCCAATCATGGCTGGGGATCTTTCACAGAGATTTTCTCTCTTTTGGTCCCCAAAACATCTTCCTCTTTTAAAAAGTAAGTGCTTTTTGTCTAGATGGATTATAGAGATTGATATTTCGTTTCCCAGCTATTTAAACTGGTACAACGCTTCAACAGCATTTTCATTTGTAGTTTCTTTTTCTATATTTATTGTACTCTTAAGTTCTGGGGTACATGTGTAGATTGTGCAGGTTTGTTACATAGGTTTAACGTGCCATGGTGGTTTTCAATCATTTGTTATTTCAAAATCTGAAATAGCTTTTGGATTTTGAAAATCTCCTAATGTCTACATGCAAAATATTCAATTCCTTTTCTTTCATCTCTCAATGGTTGATGTCAACCATTGAGAAGGGAGAGAATATTTTCCTTTCCTTGTAGGGTTTTTCCTTCCTCATGTGGTTGAGATTATGTAATGGACACAGAGGAAACAGACATACCCTACCCTCCATGAGCCCATAGCCTCTTCAGGAAGGCCCCCCAGCCATGAAGCTCCTTCAGCATGAGAAGCACCAGGTGAAGTGGGGCCAGAGAACAGTGGCCTGGGCCTCAGGTCAGCGCTGGTGAGGGAAGAAGTGGGGCTCTCTGGAGGCCAGTGTGCTGAGCCCTGCAGTGTGAGGAGGGGTCGCCTAAGTGAGTAGGGACAAGGGCAGGAGGGTAGCCTCTGTGAAGGCCCAGGATGATCGAGGGTAGCTCTCTGGAGGGATGCACTCGTCTGAACGAGTGACAGGGGCCAGGTTGGGAGGGATTGAGTCCCGCTGCTCACAGCAACCCCCCAACCAGTCTACATCTCTGCAGCTCTCTCACCACCTTCCCTACTTCATTGATCTCCATTGCACTTAGCAACATCTGACATTTGCATATTTCACTTGCATATTTCTTTGTCAGACTCTTGCATATAAACTTCACGAAAGCAAGTGTTTTACATGTTTTATTTACAGTGGTGTCCACAGTACCTAGGACAATGGATAGATACATAGAGGACACTCGACTAATATTTCTAATATTTCAATGAATAAATGAATGTTTGAATGAGAAGAAAACTCAGTATTAGAGTAAAACAAACAAGAAATTACTAAAGTGAATTGATTAGAGCTTTTTGGGGGAAATTTCCTCATTCCCGGGACGTGGCATGTGCACGTACACACAGCCAAGTAAATGCTATGGTGAAATTAGACTTACTTTCTTACATCTTCAGGCTGTCGTATTTGAGACTCTAGGATTTTAGCAATAAACTTGCTGATGCAGCTGAGTTATAATATGACAGAATGGATTTGGGCACTAGTGTTATGCTTGAAATGTAACAATGCGGTTGGTTTCTAAAGGAGTAGTTGGTGACATGGTGAAATCACTGGTTGCCCTGATAGGATAAGGCCACCAGCCCCTGTGATCTAGCCATGTTGATAAGGATAAGGATTCCACCCAGCTGTTTTCTTTAGGGAGCCACCCTGGCTATCTCCCTATAAGAGCCTAAAGAAACAGGACAAGCAGCCACCATTGCACCAACCAGGACTGCTCCTGGAAATGCCATCTCCCACTGGGCAATAAAGGACTCCACTTTTCTCAGGATCTGCCTGTGCCCAACCCTTATCTAGAACAGAAAGAAACCATAACCCATAATTTCCCCCGAGGATTCCAACACCTCCCCACTCACTCCCCTATGAGTCTCAGGAAGACAGGTTTGTTTTCCTGTGAGAATCCGTGTCTCTTTGCAAAAGGTCTGTTTTCCCAAATGAAAAGGAATTTGCTTCAGTTCTGCGTCTGGAACTAGAAAGCCAGGTCTTCACCAAACTCATGTACAAAGGGATAAAGTCACAGTTGCCATGACCTCACACTAACATCAACAGATACTTACTGGGTGTAGGACATTGTGCTAGCTGCTGTGAGGGAAGAAGAATGGATATCTTTCCAAAGATCTTAAAAGATACAGACTCATTTTCCATTAAAAACTAATTACTTGGCCAAGCATGGTGGTTCATGCCTGTAATCCCAGCACTTTGAGAGGCTGAGACAGAAAGATCCCTTGAGCCCAGTTCAAGACCAGCCTGGGCAACATGGTGAAACCCCATCTTTACAAAAAATACAAAATTTAGCCAGACTTGGTGACTTGTGCCTGTGGTCCCAGCTACTTCAGATGCTGGGATGGATGGATCACTTGATCCAGGGAGCTAGAGGTTCTAGTGAGCTGAGATTGTGCCACTGCACTCTATCCCGGATGACAGAACAAGGCCCTATCTCAAAAAACAAAATATACTAAGCACTGAGCTCTGTGAGGTTGTCAGTATCATCAAGAGGCTTAGCTTTGTATGAGCTCCATTCTGAGAACCTGGGAGGGTTGAGTCTGTGCCAATATCCTGCTGTGCTGCGGGATGGAGCCAAGCCTTGACCTTTTGGGTTGCCACCAGAATAAAGCTGCAGATAGAAAATGTGGGGGTGGGGAGAGTGGAAGAAGGAATCTCAGAGGGGAAGAAAGGACCTCTAGCTTCAATTTGAGACAATTTTTCAAGAAACGTAATGGAGGCTATGCACCACATTCAGGTGTATTCCAGATCAGGGGTTGGCAAACCGTGACCCACCCCAGCTTTTGTATGTACCGTTTGATGGGAAGGCAGCCACAATTCATTTTTTTCTTGTTATCTATGATGCTTTTGTGCTTCAGAAGTAGAGCTGAGCAGTTATGATACATACCGTATGGCCCAAAAGTTAAAACTATTTACTATCTGGTCCTTTACAGAAAAAGTTTACCAACCTTTGGTTTCGAACATGAACAAGAGTTCTGCCAGTCTGACGTGTACTTTTGATCAGACGAGTAAGGTTACTCCAGGGATTTCCAGCTGTTTCCTTCCTACCTATTTCCCCTCTTTGAAATTGCCTGTAATTCCCCCAGCTGCACTGTCCTGTTACATTAGGCCGAGAGATGGAAGGCTGTGTGCACTTGGAGCTACACACATCTGTGCAGTGGGTTACATGAAGGGGAGATTAACACCAGCTTCCTTTTTTAAGACAGGGTCTTGCTCTGTCACCCAGGCTGGAGTGCAACGGCATAATCATGGCTCATTGTAGCCTCAAACTCCTGGGCTCAAGCAATCCTCCCACCTCAATCTCCCGAGTAGCTAGGACTACAGGCATGCACCACCATACTGGGATAATTTTTAAATTTTTTTCTAGAGACAAGGTCTCACTGTGTTGCTCAGGCTGGTCTGGAACTCCTGAGCTCAAACAATTTTTCTGCCTTGGCCTCCCAAAGTGCAGGTATACAGGTATGGGCCACCGTGCCTGGCCAACACCAGCTTCTTTAGAAATGAAAGCCCATGTGAATACATTTTAAGAAAAGCAGTTTCCTGTATTCTTCTGTAAACATTGTGAATTTATTTTATTTTTCCTCCAATGGCCTATGTGGTTGATCAATAATCACAGTAATTTTCATAACATTGTATGGTTTGGCATGACATAAGTAAAAATAAACCCAGAAGCCATCATTCTCAGCAAACTAACACAGGCACAGAAAACCAAACACCGTATGTTCTCACTTAGAAGTGGAAGTTGAAACAAGAGAACACTTGGACACAGAGAGGGGACCAACACACACCAGGGCCTGTCAGAGGTAGGGGGCGAGGGGAGGGAGAGCATTGGGACAAATAGTATTGTAACCGAGGTTTAAAACCTAGATGATGGGTTGACAGGTACACCACACCACCACGGCACACATGTATCTATGTAACAAACCTACACATTCTGCACTTGTATTCCAGAACTTAAAATAAAAATAGCTAACATTTATTGAGCTCTTACTAAATGTCAGTCCCCATTTTAAGAGTTTTATGTGAGCTGTCCTATTGAATCCTCATTTTTGCCGCAAGAGATAAGGACTGTCATCACCGTCATTGTACAGATGAGCAAACTGGGGAGGAGAGGGGTTAAGTAATTTGCCCATGGTCAGACACACAGTAAGTAGAGAAGCAGGGTTTCAAACCACTCCTGCGCCATGACCTTGGCCACTACATTCTGTACCGCTTGCCTCAAGAAATGTGAAAATAAACAACTAAAAAAATCTAATTGGGAAGTAAATTCTCATCAGATATTCAACATTTAAGTATTTGTCAAGTGCTAATACCAAATGCTAATATGGAAGGACAATGTTAATTTTTATCTACACTGATCTATGATTTTTCAGATAAATATCTTGAAACTAAATTTTTAAAACCTGTAACTTTTAGTAATTTCTATTCTCTTCTGGGTCTTTATTGGACTTTGATTTCTTTCTTTTTTATTGGGAAGCATTTCTAAGTCATTCTTATCAAACTCAACTATATAAGATTATCATAAACTAGTGATTTTCTTCTCATTACATCTGAAACGCAGACAGTGAGAAAAAGCAAGACAACTACAATCTCTGTTTTTATATTTTATTTAACTATATTTGCCAAGATACTTGCAAGGCCTATGGAGGTCTAGGAACAGCATCTCCAGTCAACAATGTTTCCTTCCTTGCACATCAATCTTTACTGATTGGTCAGGGGCCTCCAAGTAGCAAGTTCTTTGTTTGGGGATTCAAAAGATGAGTGAACAATGTAACTCGTTCATGACATTTCAGTTAACAACTTTGAAAGAAAAGGTTTTTAAAATCCAATGAAACTCCTAAAAAATAATTGACTCTGCTTCTGCCCCCATGTTCTCCTCCAAAGAATCACACCTGAAAGTTTCCAATGATTCCAACATATGAAATCGCAACATATGGTGAGATTTCTTTGGTTCATATGGTATCTTTTCAACATATGAAAAGAAACTCACTCTTATGTCTGCATTTGAATCTCCTAAATCCTTAATGAAAACAAATGTACTTTTTAAATAATATGATCCATTCTTTTAAAAATCAATTATAAATGTAACTGCAGTGGTTTATGTATTTATATACTATGTGTAAAGCACTGCCTATATATCAAGATTATTCAAATTCCATCAATAACGTTGCAAGGACAGTATGATCACTTCCACATTGTGGATGAGAATAATAAGGTTCAGAAATGTCAGATATTTTACCCAGTAAAGTTTAAAATATTGGCTTCAAAGTACTGAGTTGTGGATTTGGAATTAGGGTTCTTTGTACCGAGCTATGCTGTATCAATTATCAGTTAATATTTTGTCTTTTTTTCCCTCCTATTACTTTTTAAATTCACTGATGCAGATAGCATGAACAGAAATATCTCACAGATTTCACAGCTGTTTCAAGCCATGAGGTCCCTGTTGATCCATTTCCTCTGGGAGAGTTTCTACTAGGAGTCCGCAAATCCAGTGGAGGACACGGTACCCACAGCTGCTGTGACATTGTCTCAATCGTGTTGTTCTTCTTAGGACTTCTCTCTCATAGGCTCATTGCTTGCCTTATCCAGGAGGGGTGAAGAGCAAGGCCCTGGGGCCTCAAATATGTCTTCAGCTTCTACTCCTATCCATTTTCCATTGTCACTAACCTAAGTAAGGATAAGTATTTGTTCCTTTTCAGATACCTACTTATATTATTGTCTTATTTTGATATTTTTCTTTATTTGTAAAAAAATTATTTATATGTATTTATTTATTGTGAGGTGGAGTTCCTGTGTTAGTGTGTGTAGGATAAAGGTCTCCAGCTCCATCCATGTTCATGTTCCTGCAAAGGACATGATCGATCTCTCTCTCTCTCTCTCTCTCTCTCTCTCTCTCTCTCTCTCTCTCTCTCTCTCTCTCTCTCAGATGGAGTCTTCCTGTGTCACCCAGGCTGGAGTACAGGGACGCAATCTTGGCTCACTGCAACCTCCACCTCCCAGGTTCAAGCAATTCTCCTGCCTCAGCCTACTGAGCAGCTGGGATTACAGGTCCCCACCATCATGGCTGGCTAAGTTTTGTATTTTTAATGAAGACAGGGTGTCACCATATTGGGCAGGCTGGTCTCGAACTCCTGACTGCAAGTGATCTGCCTACTTTGGACTCCAAAATGCTGGGATTACAGGTGTGAGCCACCGTGCCAGCCTTATTTTAATGTTTTTCTCGCTGGCTTCCATTTCTTTTCCTGCATAGAGAATTTTTGTCTCCTCAAGGTGAGGCGGGGAGAGGAAAGCGTCTATTGTCGTCATTCTTCACAAATTTAAAGTTTTAAGGATGCATTTTGACTTTTGGTAATAACATTTTTTACTTTTCATAACTTTTGAGATTCAAAATTTTATTCTGTTTCTCTGTCATTCCCTCTAAAAGTCATATTGAAATTAGCACAGACTTATTTTGTTTCATTTTGTTTTGTTTGTATTTCTGCTATAACCATTCTGAGCCAAGAGCAGAGGGTATCTATTACCTTCCTCATCAGTACCTGAATTGAGGGGTGGGTGGCAGTGGCCAAGGGTAGGAACAAAGGGAAGAAGGAAATATTAACCCCAGCTATGAGATCAACAAATGATCAGGAGACATTGTACTTGGTTGCTCCTGTGTTACTGGGCTCAAAATGTGATCTGGGAAATTAAATTAAATTGATCTGAAACATAAGAGTCTCCCATTCTTGGTTATGCTCCCAGTCAGCCCTAAGATGAAAGATGGGAAAAATTCAAAAGAGGCCCCAGAAAAGAGAATTTATTGCTTTTATGGAAATTTTAGATAAAGGTCACTGAGGATTAAGGTAGCTGAGTGGCTTACCCAAGCATCCCTTAGCAGGTAACATTTGAGAAAAGAAAAAAATTCAGGAGGTCAGAGAAAGAACTGAAAGGCATTTGTGAGCTCTGAGGGAATATAGCACCTTAAGTACCAGAGTACCTTAAGTACAGGTGAGAGGAGCAACATTCGGAGGAGAAAAGGGATATGATATATCAGGCTAGAAGATAGTGCTATGTCATGTAGCACGTCCACTCTTCTGCTCCTGCAGATGGCGACACACCTGCAACAGGACAGACATGAGATCGATGACTCCAAGGGGGTTCTTGTCTCATGATCATGCCACTTTCCAATTCCTCTACAACTTTCAACCACATTCCTGCCCACAGCCTCCTCCCACTTTCTTTCCTCTCATACTGCAGCTTTGACTCTAACCAATCTCAATCTTACCTTCCCTTCCAGGATGGGATTCACAAGGGCCCTTGGTGTCTGGAAGCATCAACAGAACACAGGCCTTTGATGATGAAGACAGTGCCCACCACAATGCCCATGAGGCCCACAGACAACCCCAGGGTGCAGACCACAGTCTCTGTGAGCTCTGACAGAGGGGCTGGAATCTCAGGCTCTATGGAAGTGAAGTTGTTGAGGTCAGAATGCAGAGTGTGCTCCTGTGCAGGTGTGTGGGATGGGATGGGATGGGGTGGAGGGTTAGCTTTGCAAAGACTCAAGGCCCCAAGCTTAGGGAGAAGAGTGAAGTCTATCACTAGAAACCCATGAATTGGTAGAACTCATACTTACCCCAGTGTTTCAGAAGAGGCTCGTCCAGGCCCCAGTGCTCCACCTCGCAGTCAAAAATCTCATCAGCAGAAGGGAGGAAGGTGAGGTAACTGATCTTGAAGAAGGAATGATCACTCTTGGAGAGGAAGCTGGTCTCAGAAACACCATCTGTGACTGAGTGCCCATTGCTCAGCCATGTGATGTTGACCACGGGAGGGAAGATGTTGTCCACAAGGCAGATGAGGGTGTTGGGCTGACCCAGCACCACGGGAGACTTGGAAAACACTGTGACCTCAGGAACCTCTGTGGTGAGGAAACAGCGTTGATGTGAAGTGTGAATAACTCTTCCCTGAGGTTCTGCATTATATTCTGGAAGAGCCCTCCTACCAGCATTTCACCACCTGATAGTCAAAGAGGTCTCATTTACCTTCTGCTTGGACACATTGCCTCTGCTTTATTCCTGTGCTCTTCTCTCTGTTGGTATGTTTGATAAAGTGGAGATTCATGAGACCTCTCCTAGAAGGATCTAATGAATGCATGATGGAAAGACCCTTGTATAACATGCGACTATGTGATTTTAGAGATGAGGGACATGAGAAGATCTGAGGATCTCTTGGGAAGAAGAGAGTAAAACTTGGCATAAAGGATTAGATTCAGTACAGAGAGGCGGAATGGTGGACACATACCATTGGTAGCGGCAGTGGAATTGGACTGTTTAATCATGAATTCCAAGGTGTGTCTTCCCACAGCCATGTTTCTCAGTGCACTCTGCGGGTCAAAACTTATAAATGTGCTAAACACGGGCAACCGCCAGACAGTCTCCTTTGTCTCCAGGTCCACGTAGAACTCCTCATCTCCATCAAATTCATGGGTGTACTGGCCAGAAGGACCGTAAGACTGGTAGAAGTTCACGCCATAGGAGGCAACATGGTCAGCTGATGAGTGAAGGTGACAAGCAGGAGGGCGGAACACAGGAAGAAAGAACCTTAATACGGAAAGTGATTGAAGAAACTGACTTTCAAATATTATGGGCTTCATCTTTGGCACAGTCCCTGAACAATACTCTCAGCACCTGTTTTCTCCCTGCCTAAAGCTGGTACTCATCGGGTTAGAATTGATGCTGCCTTTCCCACTGTAACATATGCTCTACAAAGGCAAACGGCACACATCTGCTATTTTGAGTGCCTACATTGTGTCTGGCACATCATAAGCTTATGGGGAATATTGTAATAAAAGAAGGAACGAATGAGTTATCATAGTATTTAGTCTTCTTACTCAGAGATTCAGTGTATTTCCCTCTTCTTCCTAACTTTTATCTCTCAGTTATTTCTTTCATCAGTTAATAACAAGTTGAGTATACTTCCTTTCCTCTCAGGACTAGCTCAAAACAGGACACTTTCTAAGCAGAGATTTTCCTTTTTATTTTTTTTAAACCAAAGAAAAGCATGTAGGATCGTATTAACTTAAAAGAATTTCTTCTAACAATGACAGGGTGTAAGAAAGACTATTACAAGAATAGCAGCATTACACATTTGTAACAAATAAGCAATGCTTCTAAGGTCTTTGTTTCGTTTATAGTAATGGTCCTTAGAGTAGAGCAACTGATTTCTTCTGAAATGAAAAGTTGAAGCTCTACTGGTTTTTGAATTTCTGTCATTCCCCCACCTTTTTTTTTTTTCCTCTGAAGGAGGTTACTAAATGGCTATAATGTTCTGACTCAACACTCACATTCACCAGAGGACTCAGGTAAATTAAACTCTTCACCTGAGTAAAGAGTTTACTGATGGGCAGTGAGCTTGTCTGAGGATGCCAGAGCAGAACAGCAGCTGTGCAGTTCCGCCAAATGAGCCAAATTGGACATTTTTGTCAAGACATGTGAACCCTTTATTATTTTATCTTTCCTTCTTTCCTCATTTACTGACCATCCAAGAGTGTCAGACATAGCAGGGGATGCTTAAAACACCATCAAGGAACAGACTGAATAGTGGGAGAGTCAGGTATGTAAGGGAATAAATACCATTTACTGTGGTGAGTTCTGTGAAGGATATTGTCAGCCTCACAGTCCAACATCCTTCACAGCTGTCTGTCAATCAAACCAAACTACATTTCCTTTCATGTCTTTGCAAGAGTCTGTTTTTTCGCACTGAAAGAAGTTATCTTTTGGGATTTCTCCTCCTAAAATTCATTCTTGAGGTTTCTACTTAGTTAACAATTTTGTAGCTAAGTCCTCTCGGCATGTTTCTGACCGTGTTATGACCTCCGACCCCTCCATCTCAGTGTCTGGCTCTCCAAGTTTGTCTGTTCCTCTTCCAGCTCACCTTCTTCCCTATCCAGCATGACTGCCCTGGTTATTGCTTATCAGGCCACCAACAAAGCCTCCTTATCGTTACAATAAACCTTGAATCCTAGTTCAAACATGAATATATGTGGAGTACATGCAATCCTTCTTTTCATCTGGTACTTGTTCTGGGTGCTGAGTGTTGCTGGAGGACGGCACTCTGCTGGCCCAGCTGGAACCAAGTCACTTCTGTTTCAGCCTCTGCTGGGTCCACTGCCCTCTCAGCAATGGCCTTCTTCTTTCCTGTGCCCCATATTGTTTCTATCCCTGGTCTGTGTACCCTCTGCAAGGCAGACAGCATGATTTTTTATCTTTAAATCCCCAAAAGTTAGCTCATTGTGTGCCCAAACGTGTATTGCATGACAATTACATTTTTTGACAATTACATTGATTTTAGGGAAGACTGACAGGCACGAAGGTAGCAGAGTCATGCAAAGCCCAGGATCAGGGATGCTCAGGGCTGCATTGGGACTTGTGAGCCTCAAGTACTGTTGCTTTTGTGGGCATGTTCCTCCAAAAAAATATAGAAAATTATAGTTTCTGACTGGATTGCTATAAAGACAAATATAATCCAGGCTAAATGAAAAGTTAAAACATTTTCTTAGGCTCTAGAACTTCATTTTTTCTTCTAATTTTAAAAGGAGTTAAAACATTATCTTTTAGCTTTACAGGACAGAGGGTTCCCTGCATTGCACACACTGTTCCTAATGGATGAATAGATCCTGACCAGGGCACTCTGGTGTGAGGCTGAAGAAAGGAAATTTGGAACAAAAAAGCCAAGTGCTCTGGAGAAGCAGGTGAAACTTCCACTGCCAAGCAAAATCAGAATGGGAGCAGCCATGGTTAATAAGGTGGTGGAAGTTTAGAGTAGCTTCCAGTTCACTTTCCCTTTCAACTATTTGACTTTTCAACTTTTGTTTTACAAACCCACTGCCCATGTCTATAAAGGAGCAGGGAGGGAGTCAGAGATGGATCCTGAAAGGGAAAAGGGAGAAAGGAATGCATGAAGAGAGGTGGAAAGATGGATGACAAAGGCAGAAGGGACTAAAGGATCAAATAATCTGTGCCTGCCCGTTTTTCTTTTTATAGGACTTCATTAAACAAGGTGAACAATAGGTTAGTTGGGTTGATTACTTGAGAATAAAATAATTTAATTTACCAAGCATTTTGTTATAAAGTTCTCAATTTTAAAATATATTTCTTACTTTGCTAAAGAAAAGATATGACGATATACCTGTAATAGGAATAAGTAAAAAAAAGTTGACATTCATGTTTTTACTGTTTATAAAGCATATCTACATGCCCATTTTATATGATTATAAGCCAGGTAACACATATGAGGTAGCAGAGAGTAAGTGCCACATTTACCATGTGGTAAGATGATTGTCTGAAGGCATTCAGCCTGCTGGGCTCTTTTACCTACTCCCCACCCGTGCCAGTTCCCATGTGGAAATGTGAGTAAGTCTGAGACAAAGCAAAGGAGCACTTTCTTTATAGAGTATACATAATTCATGGAACTACCTGCCCCAACATATACTATAGGAGGTATGAGAAAAGCTTCAAAAGTTATTCAGAGAAATTTGGGAGTAGTAAGTTTAGAAATTTTTAATAACAAAAAATACTCCATTCATAGAAACATCCCTAATATTTGAGGCAGTCATGATGGAATGCCATGGAGACCTCCAGGCTGTAGTCGCTGGATATAATATATAGAGAACAATGTCCTTAGTAAACTCCAATAGCACAGATAGCAAAGAGAGTTGGTTGGAGCTGTGGTTTCCTAAAGGAGGAACAGCCAAAATTTTAAAATTTATTAATACTAAAAAGACTCTTGGGAAATTTCTACTATTTCTTAGCAAATTGTACTCTCTTCTTTCGATTTCTTGTTTTCTAACTCCAGAGAACATCCCTCACTCATGCACTCACCCACAATGTCTTCACCTCCACAGGGGCTCATCACGGTGGTCAGGACGGTGGTCAGGACAAGGGCCCCCAGCATCAGAGCTTTGTTTAGGATCATCCTCTTCCCAAGGCAGCCTCAGCAGTTGCTGTTCTGAGTTGTAGAGCAACTGTGAGGACTGAGCCAAGGAAATCTAAAGACACCCAAACCAACCCCTGCCAGGTCAGGTTTATGGCCAATCAGAAAAATCCCCTCTGGTGACATCTTGATTGCCAGTTGCAGAGTTTGTATTAAGAGCACTGGAAGAAGACAGGGACATCCTCTGGTTCTGCCACATCCTCCACACAGTGTGGTCTTGAGGAAATTTTCTATTAATAAAGGGAAGATACTAAATTGGAATCTTCTCTCATGTGAGCGTGTCTGCTAGTGTTCTGCGCAGCCTCTTGGTTAGATAAGGTCATTAATAATATGGCATCCTTCAGGGGTTTTTGGGTTACAACCTCCAGGAATTCTTCCCTGAGATGATGTTCCTCCCTGGCAGTCTCCATCTCCTTCCCTTTCTCTGGCTTCTCTATTTGGGTTAGCTGTTTTCTTTTTGCTTCCATAGTGTATATGGTGTTCTCCAAATTTTGACTTGAGCCCAGCTACCTAAGGATCTCTGCTGGTGGTAGCCATGCAATACCTTTGCCTTTTTTACTTGTATAAATCCTGCTGGGTAAGTTCTCAAGTTCTTAAAAGCTCCAGGTGTTTTTGACCAGGGCAATAAAAGGGGTTAGACTGTCATGTGGTGATGCCTACAGTAGCCAATCTTTTATACATTTTTTCTTTTGCTTCGAGTAATCTTTATACTCTTCAAGTAATCTTTGGTGCTGCTTGAATGTGTGTGTGTGTGTGTGTGTGTGTGTGTGTGTGTGTGTGTGTATTTTTTTTGAGATGGAGTCTGTCATCCAGGCTGGAATGCAATGACACAATCTTGGCTCACTGCAATCTCCACCTCCTGGGTTCAAGTGATTCTCCTGCCTCAGCCTCCTTAGTAGCTGGAGTTACAGGTGTGTGCCACTATGCCTGGATAATTTTTTCTATTTTTGGTAGAAACAGGGTTTCACCGTGTTGGTCAGGCTGTTCTTGAACTCCGGACCTTGCGATCCGCCTGCCTCAGCCTCCCAAAGTGCTAGGATTACAGGCGTGAGCCACCGTGCCTGGCCACTTAAATATATTTAAAAGAAATTTAGGGACATTGACTACATTAAAAAAGCTTTGGCTGGCTCAATTACTCAAATAATATTTTTTATTCAAGCATATCAAGTCAAATATTAACAGCAGAACAAGAAGAATTGCTTTGACTTAGAAAATAGGGTTACTTTTCTTAAATTACTGGATTTTTTCGTATTTGTTATGCTACCACATTAAAATTTGCTACTTGCAAAGGACTAGGGATTGAGCTAAAGGTAGTCATTAGAGGGAAACTTTTTTTTTTTTTCAGATGAATCTATTTTCTGTATGTTACAGAAACAAGTTAGTTAATGGAGGTTTTGTTTAGAATCACTCTGTGCTTGTTAAATGGCTTTCTGAGATTCTCAGCAGGTTGTTCTTACCTCCCAGTGGCAGAGACTAAAAAAAAGGAAAACAAAAAAGTGTCCTGACACCCGGGAGCTGCCTTATGCAGTGAACAAGGCCTTGGGATTGCTAGAAGTTAGCCTGGTATTCACAGCTGGTTTTGGTTCTCCTGTTGAAAATAATAGTTTCATAGAACATCAGAATCAGACAGGTACTCTGTGAGCATGATGGATTGAGACAGAACACAAGGCCACTCAGTCATCATGTCTCCACCCAGACAAAGCAGGAATATTGTCCAAACCACAGATATAACCAGGCACTTCTCTCTCGGGAATGATTGCTGCTTCTTTAGCAATGACAGCTGTAGCCTCGGGATAGTCTTTTGTACCTTCAGGTAGGATTTATAAAGCCACCCAGTCAGCACTGCCACCCCCAACCCTGCTTTTTGTCAGAATCCTGTTAAAAATGAAGTCTCTCTTTCTTAAATCCTCCTCAAAATTACCTAACAGAAGCACAAATCATACAATTGATTAATGACCAATTTCATGTGTTGGCTAGACTGTGGTCCCTAGTTATTCACACACTAATAATCTAGGTGTTGCTGTGAAAGTATTTCGTGGATGTCATTAAAGTTCTTCATCAGTTAACTTTAAGTAAGAATTTATCTGAGATAAATTGGGTGAGCTCAGTCTAAGCAGTTGAAAAGTCTTAAAAGCAAAGCTGAGGCTTCTCTGAGCAAACAGGAATTCCACTGTGGACAGCGCATCTTCCTGTGTTGAGAACTCCAGCCTGCCTTTCCTGACAGCCACCTCCCAGTGGGTCTTGGACTTGCCTAGTTCACCCCCACAGTTGCACAAATTAATTCCATTCAATCATTCTCTTAATATATGTGTTCTCCTGGTTCTACTTCTTTGGTCCCAACAAGCTTTTACTGAACTGCTGTGCGATTCCTCATGGTGTTTTCTCCATCACTGCAATGAACAATAAAGCCAACGTGTTCATTTAAGGGTATGTCCTGGCTGGAAGCACTGATGGTACCTCACTAGGCAGGTGTGAGGAATGTAATGTATTGCACTTGGAATGAATTACTTTTTATATATACTTGTCATACTTCATCCACATTTTTCAAGAAGAACATTAAAGCTCATGGAGGTAAAGTGCGTTTCCCAGGGTCACACAGCTGGTAAGTAGCAGAGATGGGATGCTATGGGCAAGCCATGAGTCCTTATGAGGGATGAGGGGTAAGGGTCTCCTTCTGTGCGTTCAGAATGAGTTCTCCTAATATGTTTAGGAGAGATATATGACACTGTAGGTGGCCTTATTACTCTTTCTATCCCCTGCCAGTGTGAATTAAGAGGGTTTTTGAGGTTGTACTTACGATGTGCTCTTTTTTAAAAAATACTGAAAAGAGTTAACAGTTTGTTATAATTTATTTTATTTAACAATCTAGGAAGTTCACAGCCATCAGCAGTTCTAGTGCAATTGCAGGGGCAATTGGGAATTCAGGAATCCATGCAGCATCCTCTTTGCTGTGTAGTAAATAACACATTTCTACTTTTTTAAACCCTGTATCCAGACTTACCTGCTTTGTATCTCACAGAAATTTCTTAAGATTTTGGGAAATGAACTAAATATTTCCTGATAGTACTCCAGAATTTCTATTAATATTGCGGTTTAAAAAACTCAACTCTAATTAGGAAGTTAAGGTGTTAAATGCGGAATCAGAATTGTATCGATGGGAAGCTGTGGGTGCAGTCTCAGATTTCACATCCTGTGGGATGGAGGGAAAGTCCAAGCAAGGCCAGGTCATTGACTAGGAGGTAATCCATGCCTTTTCTATCTTTAACCTGGTTTTGTGTCTCTCTCCTCCTGCTTCATCTGACCATTATACAGCAAAACTTGTTCTATTTGCTTTTGTCTTCAGGTCATAATTTTAATGTAAGGTAAAATAATCAGTAAATTAGACTCAGATAGAAGAACAGTATACCATTTTAACAAAACTAATTTCTTACTTTTGTCTGGTAGGAATAGAAAAGGTCCTCAGCACTTTGGGAGGCTGAAGCGGGTGGATCATGAGGTCAAGAGATTGAGACCATCCTGGCCAACATGGTGAAATCCTGTCTATACAAAAAAAAAAAAAAAAACAAAAAAATTAGCTGGGCATGGTGGCACATGCCTGTAGTCCCAGCTACTCAGGAGGCTGAGGCAGGAGAATCACTTGAACCTGGGAGGTGGAGGTTGCAGTGAGCCGAGATTGTGTCACTGCACTCCAGCTTGGCAACAGAGTGAGACTCCATCTCAAAAAAAAAAAAATCCTCTTCATAAATTAATAGTGGGAATAAAATTTGGAGTTCAAAATAGTACTTTGTCCAATAATTTTCTTAGAAAGCATTAGTTGACATGCCACTGATTTCATAACTAAAATATCAATGAATGTGCCATTCCAATTGATATCATTAAGGCCCCTCTAAGAAATTAGGCAGAAGTTACATTAGTTCTAATGAACAGTTGCAACATTCTCTAAGACCATATTCTTTAGGTTTAATTTTATGCATTGATGAACTTTTACTCTGAAGTCCAAAACTTCTATCTTGCAGTAGTTGAAGGTGCATCACAACAATAACAAAGTCTAGAATAGCAAAACAAAAAGAATATAGATTTTGTAATAAAATAAATATGAATTCCATGTGGCTTTTTATTTCATCAGCTGCATCACCCTGGGCAAGCCACTCAAAATACCTGAGCCTTAGGGTTATTGTCTATAAAATGGGATGAAAACTATTAGATGATAATTAATATGAAATGATAGGTAAGTACAAATTATACAGTAAATACAGTCTAGTGTTTGACACCTAGCAACTATTCCCAGGCGGTAGCTGCTACATAAAGACAAATAATAATGATAATGATAGTAACATCATGCATTGGGCTGGAACAGCCTGTCACTTTTTCCTCATGCATTTAACCTTCTCCCTCTGGCACTCCAGGCTTGTAGGAACCTGTGAGCCACAGAAACACTAACAGATTCCTGGGAAACAGAATTTCTTTGAAGAATGTTTCATCTGTCAGATTTTTCTATGTAACAAACTATTCCAAAACTTTAATGACTTCAAACAATGGTTTAGTATCTTCTTATGATTCTGTAAGACAGATATTCTAAAATGGGGCCAGCTTTCCTCATGTGATGTTTGACAATTTCTGGAGATACTTATGTTGTCATCACTGGGGTGGGTGCTACTGGCAGGTGTTGGGTAGAGGCTGGAGCGCTGCTACACATCCTGCAATGCACATGACAGCCTGCTACAAGAAAATAATCATCTAGAACAAAATGGCAATAGTTCTGAGGTTGAGAAACCTCATTTTAGAATATTTTTTAAATATTAAAAAAAGATTCATTTCCAGTGTTTACTTCTTTGTATAGATCCAGGTTTCTATGTGATATCATATTGCTAACATGTGAAGATCTTCCTTTTACATTTCTTATGGTCCAAAAATCCCATGGACACCAATAACCCCATGACTCAAAGATAATAATGAATAATTGACTGTCCCAAGGCACGGAGAAAAAAACAAATGAGCGTGGGAGCATTCCCCTGCCCCCATCTTCTCTCTTTAGTGCTCATTGTAAGCCCTTGTATTATTGTAATTAATTTTATAAAATATTCCTTTTATGTGAAGTATTTTTAAAATCCCCAAACATCACACATATCTGGATTCATTTTTCCCTAAAATTGTAGGTTATTAAGACATTTGACTTCTTCTTGTGTTATTATCTCTATTTTTAATGTTCTGGCTAAATCACAACTTAAAATTTCTAGGTAAAATGCTTTACATATATATG